CAGGTCGGAAATGCCACTTTTGAACGTTCCTTCATGTAAAAAAAACCCTGCCTGTAGAAAACTAGGCAAACAGGGAGAAAGTTCCTTTCCCCGCTGTGTTGTTTTCCACTTATAGGGAGGAATGTCGCTTTAAAAAAAACTTACAGAAGCATTCAGGAATGTGACCTGTCTGCAGTATAATGCCCCTCGGGCTCCCTTGCTCTCAGAGATGCATCCCGCCCTGCCTCATGGAAACTCAGTCACTTGCCACAGCCCTTTCGGCTGTGAAACAGCCGTCCACTTCAGGAGCGATGTGGCAGTATTGGATGAAGCAGCCCAACCCCTTTGCCTTCTTGAAGAAAGGATATGGGGGATGGAGGGAAAGAAGTCTAGTGATTTCTCCTCTTTTTTCAAAGGTAAGAATAAGAGCAGAGCAAGAGCTCTGAAATCTCCCAGTCGCTACAGAGTAGGCATGGCTAGAACTGGAGGGGCCTCCCTCTCATCAGATGGGATGACAGTCTGGTCTACTTTGTGTAGCCCCACCTGGGGGAGCAAGTGGGGGGAGTAATGCACTGGTGGAGAATCTTGACTGGAAGTTTCAAGATTTTAGCCTTCTTCTTAGGGTCTTCCGGAGAAGTGAGGTCTATAGGTGAGCGTAGTTCCCTCTAAGCTGTGCTAGGGGGTGCTGGTGCATAACATTTTAACAGGCAGCTCTGGCAATTTCTGCTTCAGCCCACAGATACCGCTTCAGCCCATTGGAAACAATGGAGATGGGGGTACCTCCTTTGGGGGTCTGTAGAATTGGACCTCCTGGTCCAATCTTTTTGAAACTTGGGGAGGTTTTTGAGGAGAGGCACCAGCAGCGATGCTGCAAATTTGGTGCCTTTACCTCAAAGAACAGCCCCCCAGAGCCCCAGAGAGATTATCCATTATAGCCTATGGGCCCACTGACTATAATGGCCCCATAGCAGGCCCGTGGCTACATTGAAGCATTCTGGGGCCCAGCCCCCCGACTTCCTACCAAAACCCCACAGGCTCCATCCTGGGCTGATGGCCGAATCGAGCAGAATCAATTTCGGCTGGCAGAAAGACTCCCACGTGTCAATTTCGGCAGTACAAGCCAATTGAGGAGTCTTTCCGCCCGCCAAATGTTCATTTCGGTCCCAATATATCCTATGGTCCATTGAAGTCAGTGGTGAAAACATAGGGTATATTCCAGGGGGCTGGAGGGGAGGTGGTTTGAGGGAGAGGCTCCAAACTCACAGGGTAGCTGCTGGAGCCTCTCCCCAAGATACCCACCAAGTTTCAAGAACATTGGACCAGGGGGACCAATTCTACGGGCCCCCAAACAGGTTGCCCCCATCCTCTCCATTGTTCTCTACCGTGGGAAAAAAGTACCTGGCTACGGGCCTGTTCCATAGGCTACAATGGAGCTGGAAAAAAATATTCTTTTTTGCACACCCGTTATGCTTTTCAGTATGACCTATAAACTGTCTTGAGTCACAGGGAAAGGTGGGATATAAATATTTTAATAAATAAGTAGTTTGGGCAGGTTGATAACATTTAAACAACTTCCTGTCTGTTCAGTTAGGCAGGGTTCTGGACAGTGATTGTTCCTGAAGAAGTGATCAGTGACTCATGAAAGCTCCTGCCCTGCCAGATATTTTGTTAGTCTTCAAGGTGCTCCTGGACTCTGGCTCTTTTCTACTATTCCTCCTCTGTTATACTTGACCTGTAATGTTGGTTGTCATATTTCACTTAAAAAAACAAAGTAGACTGCAAGAGTCCCTCCCACACACCCCGGTGTGCTGGTATGTTTTCTAAGGCTCAGCACAGAGCACCAGTCTGAGGCCAGGTCTACCAACCTACTGGAAAGGGATGGGTAGACCTGTTCACCGGAGGCCAGGTCTACCAACATAGAGGAAAGGGTTGGGTGAGATTTGATTCTGTTTTCTCTTATAATGTTTAAATTATTCTTAAAATATGGTTTAAATATAATTTTAAAATAATTTATTCTGAGATTGATTTTTACAAGGTTGTGGAAGTAATCTTCTAAAAACTAATTCATGCAATAGTCAAATGTAGACTCACTCACAACTTTAATGCTACTAGCTTTTTTGCTCACAAGGTATAATTTCTGCTCACAACACTGTGAGCTTAGAGGGAACACTGTAAGGTGAGAATCAAGGGGGGCAAGCTATTTGTTCCACCTCTGTAAGCTCCATGCTGAGCCACCATGCATGGCCTTGCTTTGCTCACTAACCCACTAGCTATCACTTCTTGCCAGGATCCACTGAGTTCCACCCTAGCCCATGAGGCTCCATCCCTTGACCAATGAGGCACTGCTCCTTAGCTGCAACAACAGAAGTGCAATGCTGTTACATCACTACTGGCTTTCACCATAGAGTTTCCGGTGATTCCTTGAGCAGCATGATGTCACTTCCGGGGTTTCCCCAGAAGTGATGTAATGCCGTTGTGTTGATGGCCCCACAGTCCCCGGTACTTCTGGACTCCAGCTGCTTGCCAGCCATTGGCTGGAAATCCTACTTGGTTCCCTCCTCCATTTTGCACCCATTAGGACCCCATGACATTGTGCAGAGTATCTGGGAACTCAGCACCCTTAGCTCAAGTACAACGCTTCAAAGTTATGTTTGCATTCTACATTACAATTTTTAAAAACCCAGCTCTATGCAGCATTGTAAAAAACATGCTACGTGCACACAAAAGCAAGTAGATTCAGCCTTGACCAGTTGGGCATAACAAGCTGGAGTTTGCCGGTACAAAATAAATCTGGCACCCCCTAATGGTGGGAGGCTGCTACTTCACTCATCGTGAACTCACCGTACAGACTGGATTCTTCGACACTGAATAAGCTCCTCGGCTAGCCCTCTGATGCCGCAGGCTGTGATTTCGTTATGGTCCAGACTTTTTAAACAGAGAAAGAGAAACAGAAAAGAAGTCACCTTTTTTTAATCAGATGAGCAGTGTTTAAACAGTATCACATGCAGTTTCACTTGGTGTGAACACAACCCCTGAAAAATCCACTGTGTGTCTACCAGAGCTGTAAGTGCATGTTAAATACATGTGTTGCCCCTGATCACACAATACAGCAACTGTACGTGTCAAGAGGATCTATGAAAAGCTGTTACCTGGATAGCTCAGAAAAGCCTGGTCTCCTTATCTCGGAAGCTAAGCAGGGCTGACCCTGGCAAGTAATTGGAAGGGAGACTTCCAAGGAATACCAGGGCTTGGGACAGGCAATCAAGCCACCTCGAAGAAGAAGAGGAGGAGGATGGATTTATACCCCGCCCTTCACTCCGAATCTCAGAGCGGCTTACAAGCTCCTTTCCCTTCCCCTCCCCACAACAGACATCCTGTGAGGTCGGTGGGGCTGAGAGAGCTCTGACAGAAACGGCTCTTTTCAAGAACAGCTCTGACAGAACTATGGTTTGTCCAAGGTCATCCAGCAGCTGCCAGTGGAGGAGTGGGGAATCAAACCCGGTTCTCCCAGATTAGAGTCCGCACACTTATCCACTAGACTGGCTCTCAAGGAAGGTGGGGCTGAGAGAGCTCTGACTGAGAACTGCTCTTTTTCAAGGACAGCTCTGACAGAACTATGGCTTGTCCAAGGTCATCCAGCAGCTGCCAGTGGAGGAGTGGGGAATCAAACCCGGTTCTCCCAGATTAGAGTCCGCACACTTATCCACTAGACTGGCTCTCGGGATCTATGAGTGGTTGGTGTATGCAACTGTAACATCCAAAAAGGGCAAAGAAACTCACTAGTCATCAGTGCCATATGGCCCACATGGTATAACCCATTTCACTCTGCCTCTGCTACCTCATAATTTTTTATTGGTCATGGAGTGGCATCGTTAAACTATTCAGCCAGATACCTCGGGGGGGGGTGCATTCTCCCCATCTGGCAGCAGTTGCCCTATGGTAGAGTTCCTAACTGTCCCTCCAGGCAGTGGTAGTTATAGAAATGCCAGTGAATCCATGAGGACTCCATGAGGTGCACCCAAGAATCCTGTGCAACATCAGAGATTGCCAAAGTTCCACCAGAGTGTTACATTCCAGCACTGCCTTGACTCTGCAAGGGTCCTGGGTGGAAGGGCCAGTTGGGGGCACACCTCGGATCACGCCACAGTGGTTGATGTTGGGATACTTGCGAGTTCTCTACCTGTTGGTCATGAAAGCATCTCCTGTTTGTTATGCATCCTAATTTCCAGTTAGAGATCCAATAGCATTGTCTGCACATTTTCCCCACTAGAGCAAGGTGAAAAAATGCATAATAAGCTAGTGTTGGGATTCTCCAATTGGATAATCAAGAATTCCCTCTCTGGACACAACACTCACACGGACAATGGCTGCAACCAAGGAAGAACGCTAAACTTCGGGGTGGTCTCGGGAGACCTGAACTACTTCTGATAGCAGAGTGGAAAGAAAGAGCAAAGACAGAAAGGCGCTAAACCTAAGGCTCTTGTCAAGCAGCATGTCTGTGTGGTGGCTGGGCCAGACACAGAGGCAGAGACCACTGTGAGACAATCAAATGTCTAATCCCAGATTATAGTTGCTCAGAGCAGCAACATTTCCTGGCCACCGTGGTCCTTGGTCATTGGGTATAGTGCTACTATTACGTTACAGCAACCATTTGCGATCAGACTACCTTGTCCATACACAAAAGAGGAGGCAGAAAGGACGGCAGCTACAGCACAATATCCAATGGCATTTGGATGCCACCCTACGGTCCATTCTTTACTGCAAGACTTTGTACACACAATGACTTCTACTCACTCCAGTATTCTCAGTCTCTCCATCCCAGGAAGAATCATGGCTAGTTCCAGTGCGCTTTCATCACCAAGTGCATTCCAAGACAGGCTAAAGAGGGCAAGAACAACCAAGAGAAGTGAATCAACTAGTTGGAGACAGTGTCTAGTGGCACCCTATGCCAGTGCTTTGCTGATGCTAAGCAAGACTGAGTCTCGTGCTGGTCTGAACCTGGATGGGTATCCTCAGTATGCCACTTGAAGTGTGACGATGGAAATAAAGGCAAGAAATGCAAAAAAATAAACTGCCTAGGCACCCAAGACATAATAGACTAAGGAAATATGAATGGAACCACAGGGAGGGACCTGCTGGGTAGAGAAATGGGATCACGGAGGTAGAGTATACAGGAGCAGAACTATGTGCCAGGGAATATCAGGGCATTGCAACAGAACTGCTATGGTACCATGAGAAATTAATTTTATTCAGGCATATGGGAGCCTAAATCAACCACCTACTGAGATGCATGCTGTATCTTTGTACAATTCACTTGTGTGATCCTCATTCCAATAATCCTCTGCTGAGGTTCGATAATTCTTCCATATTGACTACATTGGGTGAAATTGGATCATTCCATTACACCTGATGAAAAGGTGCGGCAGAATTATCTGTCACAGAGGAAGGTGCCTATCTCATCTCTGTATGAGTCAGTGCTCTGGACCAGCTTTTTTCCCCAATCAGCACATTCAGCACAGTGATTCATGCCAAACTGCAAGGACTGGGGTTGCCTGCAGGCAAGTCATTCTTACTGTCTTCCTTTACTTCATCTTTAAAAAGGAAGCCTCCGACTAGCCCTTTTTGATGCAAAGATAAAGGGGGAAAGGCAAACCTCCACAACAAAAAGGGGCTAGAGACAGCCTTTAAAAAAATGAAAAAGAAAAGGAAGCTGGGAATTCAAGAGAACTTGACCGCTTGTTACGATGCTATAACAGTATGCCAGTGGCTGGTTTAAAAAACAAAAAGGACCTCCCCTGGTGATGAGGGGGGAGCTATGGCCACTGTGGCAGAATGGGTCTGGGGAAAACACACTGATGTGGGTGGGACCAGGAGCATCCATGCTTTTCTGTCCACATGGCTGCCACCTTGACTTTGCAGCGGTGGTTCCCAAAACAATGCAGCGAAGCAAGTTTAAGACAGGCTGCAGAAGATATGGGGAAACCAGGGAGGTGCCTGAAGCACCACAATGCCGTGGGTAAGCAAGGGGGGGAAACCCCTCTTCCCTACAGCATTCAAGCCATGGCAAACTACCCCTTGGGAAAGCAGCCAGTGTACAAGAAGACCAATGTTACGGCAGAATCCAGCAAGGACAAAACTAGAGGCCAGTTCCCAGGTTACTCCGGTACCACAGAAGCCTCGTCCACAGGACTGCTTCCCACACATCACTCCCATCACGTCCAAAGGCAGGAACCCTGTGGATTCTTTCCCATGCTCTGAGGGGTTCCCAGGTCCCCCTTGGCCACTGGAGAGGGATGTGGAGACAGGATTGCCAGCTCCAGGTTAGGAAACTCCTGGAGGTTTGGGGATGGAGCCCGGGGAGGACAGGGACCTCAGTGGGGTACAGTGCCCCAGAGTCCACCCTCCAAAGCATCCATTGTCTCCAGAGGAACTGACCTATGCAGTCTGCAGACAAGCTATGTAATTCCAGGGGGTCCCCAGGTCCCACCTGAAGGCTGGCACCCCTATTCTGTAGGCTGATGAATTCCTGCATCAAGAATTCATGGGAAGCAGCTGTGTGAATGCAACTCCTGCCGCAGCCCTTTCTGAGCCAGCTCCGAGGCTCAGCCATGAGAGAGCTGCCGGCGTTCCCTGCTTTGTACTCACACGATCTCTTCAAGCAGAGCACAGCGGCTGAGCCCAGAGGCAAGGGGCCTGGAAGCCGAGTCCGTGATTCTACACATCTTCAGCCTGAAAAGAACAGACATGGGACATCTAAGCCAGCTTGACATTCCCGGTGCCGTCGGATATGAAGGACTGTCTCTCCTCGTGTGTCGCTGAATGCCTTCTGGTTGCCACCTTTCGGTTGTACCCTCCACACTGGCTACTGCAGTCCATTCTTCCCCTACAGTAGCTCTCACCTTATGGAACGGGCTTCTTAAGGAGGTGGGGGGAAAGGAGCTGTCTTCAGAGGTTTTCAGGAGGCCCTGCAAGGCCACTTTGTTTGCGATTTTTGACAGGGTGTTTTTAATCTAGGAACTGCGAGCTGTTCTAAAGGGAAAGGTGCGGTAGGAATATTTTAATAAATGGGCTTTCCTCGAGAATGATGATTTTGGCTTCATCCACATGCTGTTGGATATTGTGCCTAAGGAGCTGTTTGAAGCTGGACTGTGCACAGGAAATTGCGGCTGTGGATATCTGCGGTAGTGCACTAATAGGGAACTACCCAGTGCCACAAAGATGTTGCCTTTTGTGATTTTTTTAAAAGTTCACACCGCGTTGTTATTCATCTATACATTTTAAACACAGCACTGCGTCCATAAAAGGGCTGCAAAAAGGGGAGGTGGGCAGCTGAATCTAGCCCCACATTACCGAAGCTGGGAGTGACGTTCTGCTTCACAAATTCGACAAAAAGCTCTGTGCTACAAACGACAACAGGATCCAGATTACAATATTTAAGGCACCGGATTCTGCAATCAGAATCATCTGTGCCGATGATGCGCATTTGCACAGAGTGGCTCGTTTTGCACACTTTCTTCTGCTTCCAAGAGCCAGGTCACCTGTAAGATTCTGATATTCCTGGCAAGCTCCAGGGCAATAGGGCTGCAGTCACAGACACGAAATAATCCACTTTCAATCCACTTTCAGTGCACTTCCCAACTGGAGTTTTACTGTGTGAACTGGCAAATTCCACTGGGAACATGGATTTAAAGTGGATTATTTAGTGCATGTGACCACAGCCTAGGAGGGTCCAACTAGAGGTGATGTTTGTTCACAAATGGAATCTGGGTTCCCCCTGACCTGACTCTCATTCCTGTCAGTGAGACAGAAGCTGCTGGGAACAAAGTTCCCAAGATGTACACAGGCCCAGTTTGAGTCAGGAATGGGGGGGGGGAGACTTCAGCCCCCCCCCATATCATTTCCCCAATGTGAAACAATCCTGGAGCATCTAATTTGCCCCATTAGGGGGACACACACAGCATCAATGCACATGGAATCCCAGTGGGGCAAACAGCAACCCCATGGCTAGCTGGGGACAGGAAAATGCCGGGCAGGGGGAGACTGAAGCCCCTTCTCCCCCTACACACTGTGGTCCCAATCTGAATTGGGCCCTGTGGCATGTGGGATATTAGATCCCAGCCACGGCTGTCAGACTGACCTAAGTGAGAGGTGGGTCAGGGGAGCCAGACCCAGCTCAGGAAAATAAAGTCACGTCTAGTTTGACGTTAAGGAGTTTGAGTCTTGGTGGGCTGCAGGACCAAGGAGCAGTGGACTATACTCTTGAAAGAAAACCTGAAAAGACCTACAGCTACTGAAATCCAGCCCACTGGCTATTAGGAGGCCTTCAAAGCTTCCTCCAGCTCTGGAGATATGCTCCAGTGTTGCCCACCTGCTTCCAGCCTTGGCTTGGCAGGCCTAAGTGCCAGAAAAGAGTGTAAGGGTTAGTGTGCTGAGCCCTGAGCAGAAACTTCTGGCATCAGATCTCCTCTCAGAGCTCACTCAGTAACCTTGAGTTAGCCATGTCATCTCTCATCCTAACTGAACCAGTTTCTCAGGTTGGTTGTGAGGAGAAAACAGAACCACTGTGTATGCCACCCAGAGAGCTTTGAAAGAAAGATAGGATGTAGGTGCAAAAGATATACTACTTACAGAAATGCTTACAATAAAGATGACGAAGAAGAAAAGATTGGATTTCTACCCTGCCCTTCAGTACCCAAAGGAGTCTCAGAGCAGCTTACAATCTCCTTTCCCTCCCCACAACAGACACCCTGTGAGGTTGAGAGAGCTTTTTCGAGGACTGCTCTTGAGAGGACAGCTCTGAGAGAACTTGTGACTGACCCAAGGTCACACCAGCAGCTGCATGTGGAGGATTGGGGGATCAAACCCGGTTCTCCCAGATTAGAGTGCACACTCTTAACCTCTACACCAAACTGGGGTCAGGAAAATGTAGGGCAGGGCAGGAATAATTCAGGAATCCCAAACAAACTACAGCCACATCAACCAGATTATATCGTCTCCCTGCAAAGAAGATTAGTTAAGAAAAAGACTTACTCAATCTTCCTCAGTTGTGAAGACCATGTCAGCCCCTCTGCAAGGGCCTTGACTCCCTTGTTCCCAATGCAATTTTCTGACAAACTGCAAGATCAACAAAGATGATCAGGTTGAAGTATTGCATTTTTAAATACTTATTATATGTCAGAATAATTGTTTTCGATTGCTAATAACTGATGAATGGTGTGTATCCCGTGGTCCCCATCCATCAAAGTAGAAGCCATTACAATAGTGCAAGTTTTTTCTGTAAAGTTGTGGCACGCTGTTTGCAGGAAGGATACCACCATAATATCCAAACAGTGACTTCTGATTGTGCAAGGTCTACACTAGCACTTGAATGTTGGCCTGATTTTTAAAATTAATTTAATAATACAGTTAAAGGGTTGGATCCAGACTAAATTTTCTACTAACGGAAGAGGAGGTGTAACTTTTGTCAATTCCCCTTCCTGCTGCAATCCCAATTTGCCCCACATGCTATTCATAAGGGTCCCCCAGGAACAGAATTTGGGTCCTCTCCAGTCTTTCATAAAACCTCAACAGTTTGGGATAGTGACCCTCTGGAAAAAACCCTTATACCAATACCTTCTGACGAGGAAAACAGACATCTTTTGTTGTTGTTTTTTACCTGAGCTCCTGTATTTGTGGACATTCAGACAGAGCTTTGGTCAAATGAGAAATTCCCTCAGAGTCAATGTTGCAGGAAGACAGGCTGACAAGACAAGAAGGAAAACAGCTTGCCGTATACTCACACAACTTTCACATGGTATCTATTGCTTAGCTGAAAATGTAGTTATCAGGTGACCAAGTGGATACCTATTGGTTCCTACTGTCAGCTGACTGCTGGAGATCTGGTTGCTGCAGTACCACCCCAGGCCACCTGTGGTGGTCTTGGCTCCTGACTGTTTATTTACTGAAAAGTAGCTTTCAGGGCTGCAATCAAGAGCAGAGGTGAGGAAGAAGAGCTATTTTACTCGTTCCATTCCTGTCATTTGTGCACTCAAGATCATCCTCTCAGAGTTTGATGTTATATATACGTTGCTCCATCAGTGGAAGGAAATATGCTGGCTGGAAGAATTCTGCATGCACAGCTGGCACATCTGCCTCCAACCCTGCAGTGTTCATCTGGGCTCCATTGAACTGCCCGGATGCATCTTTTGATTGGGCAGGGGAACCATTTCTGCCTCCGGAGCCACTAGCTGTTGCACGTGACAAATCTCTCTTTAACTGGATTTGGTTCATGCGTGCATGTCAATCACTTGATTTCTCTGAACCTAAATACTTCTCACCGGGGGACCATGGCTGAACGTGTGAATTGACTCTATTAAAAAACAACAACACTTGAGTTGACACTCGCTGTTTATGAAAAATGTGCTTCTGGTGATTAATCTGTGCTGGACAATTCACGCATGCAGGCCACGACTGGAAGTTCCCATCAGTGAGTGATGGACCCATGCATGTGATCCAGCTCAAAAATGAGCAGAGCTGTAGAAAACCAGGAGGTGGCTGCTGGTACAGAAGAGAAGATAACAGAGAATATTGGATTAAGCCGAGACACCTACTGAAGGACCTTCAAATGGTGCACAGAAGGCAGAATTGCAGCTAGTTTTGCTGCAGTCTCACATCCAAGATTGTTCTCAGATAACCTGAAAGGAAGCAGAAGGTGAAATGTCATTTCTAAAGCATGAAACGTTGAACTTCGAGATGATAGCATACCCTGAGTTGGACCAACTGCTGGGGCCAGGGCTTCTGGCGGGGCTCACTGTTGCTGACATTCACACATTTCCTGTCACCCATGTCCATACCCTTCTCCGGCCTCCTTGCCCGTGCTCTAGTTCCCATGACGCCAGCTGCCTAGCGCTGCCGAGGAAGGGCACGTGGGTGGTGCACACAGCAGAAGTGTTCTCAGTGGCCGTGACAGTGGCACTCTCGGCTGTACTTATTGCCTATCACCACCAGTGTAGGCAGTGTAGGCAGCTGGGACCACAGGTGGCAGAACGGCTTGCAAGTGGGCTGAGGAAGGACCCACAGGCGTGTATGGGCACATGGGTAGATAGGCAAGAAGGGGGGCCTGGCAGTGGGCATGGGAAAGCGTGGGAACTCTCTGCCCAAGCCCCCCCCCCCAAACTTGGAACCAGCCTTGATGGAACGGATAGCATTTTCTTCTATTTCAGTGACGGAAGAAAGGTTTAGTTATTCTCTGGTCATATCTGGAAAAGACCATGGGGACGTTTTGTCTTCCTCAGTGGGCCAGAAAGCACCACACCGAGGACCATTTCAGATCAGGGAAATGGAGTAGAAAGAGAGACTGAAGCCCTATGTTCACGCACAACACAGTTCTCATCTGAAACGGGCCCCATGTGCATGGGAATTGAGGAAAACCCACAGCTCACACCTGTTACGCAAAGGGAGGGCGTCAGTTCCAACCTGTGTACTCAGTACCATAAGGAGACATGGCAGCCATTGTGTGATGGAGTGAGGGAAGAAGCAGACACTGGAAGGTCAGTTGGAGAGGCTTAATATGTCTGAAGTGTGTTCAGGAACAGGGATTTGGGCTTTTTAGAGGGATCTGTGGAACAGCCAAGAAGCATTGGACTTACCGGAGCTCTTCCAACCTCTCGCTGCCAGCCAGAGCTTCCACAAAACATTGTCCTCCCACAGAGCTGATGCTATTATGTGACAGGCTGAAATGATTGCAGATGTGTAAGACATAAATAGTAACAGACCACAAAAGGTGCTGGGCATTAACAGGGAGTTTCTGAATGTTAAGGAAAAAAATAAAAGGGGGTGATATCAAAAATGCTAACGAACAAGGTTCAAGCACAATCAAAGAAAGATGAAATAGAAAAATTCTCATAATTAAAAAGTTGTTTGTACTCTAATGCATTTTGATAATCTTCCCCAGGGGAATTTTTTTGAAGTATGGGGTGAGACCTAATTACTACCTTATGGTCAGTCAGAGAACTTTGTAACTGCACAGGGATTTGAACGTAAGTCTCCCTGGTCTACATTGCTTGTCTTCTGCTGTCTGGTTCGTATGGCTTTGTCCAAGGCCCCATCCACACTACATTGGCTCCAGTGCATGTCTGACTAGAGTCATGCTGCACACCCAACCCTGAACATATACACGCTGCTATGTTGTCTGGCTGCATTGCTGACACAACAGAGGAACTCATAGGAGCTCTTGGGATCAAAGCACCTGCTTGGATGTACTCTATGTTCCAAGACCTTAAATGACTACCGTTTGGGAGTGGATGAGAAAGAATGAAGGAAGATACTCATGCCGTGTGCAGATAGGAGCCAACTCAGACATACCGGAAAGGAACTTTATCCTGACTGCATATGTACGTGCCTACCATCAAGTTGCAACTGACTTATGGCAACCCCAGCAAGGGGATTTCAAGGCAAGTGAGAAGCAAAGGTGGTTTGCTTTTGCCTATCCCATAATCCAAATCTACAGTTTGTAGATTCTCAGCAGGTTGAACACAAGAGACTCACTCAATTTGCTTCAAGTTCTTCATTTGTGGAACTGCTGTGGCTATTTCTTTTACTCCAGCATCCTCAATCTCATTGTAGCTTAAACTAGAAAAGAAAAAAAGCAAAGCACATTCAGAAAGCATTCATGGCATAATTTCCTAGTTTTTATCTTTCAAAAGGGTACCTATATTTAGACGTTTCCTTAGTTAGTGAAGCTTGACGAACCACGAATGTTCGGACATTAGACAAAGAGAGTTCCCCGAACTCCCATCATTTTTCACATTTAAAAAAAGGTCAAGTCAGGGTCAGGGAGGACTGATTCTGCTCAAGACCATCACACAAGGGAAGGGTTAGATAGAAGTTTCCCTCCCCCCAAGACACACAATTTTTCCCCACTTTGCAGGGCTTTTTCCCCCCCCTGGAAAAAGAGGTGTCAGAACTCTCAAGAGGGAAATGAAGTTTTCAAACTGTATGCTGAAAACTCATGAACAAAAAGCCCTGCCACCTTGTGTCCATATGTTTTCCCCAACAGGGGAAATAGGGTCTCCCCAGGGCCATTTATAGCCTGGAAAATGGTATGGTGGGAAGGCTTATACCCTCCTAATGTTGTAGTCCCAATCCCAATCATGTCCCAGCATACCTGCTTTTTAAAAGGCCTTGAGAGCCCATTCATATACTTCCAAATGTCACATTTGTTTGGCTCTAAGGCAGAAGCCCCTTTCCTAGCCTTGCTACATACAAATCTTTCTAACTGGAGCTGATCCTGAGAACATCTTACAATTAACCCCAAAATTATGTCCATTGCGCCTGGATTCTGCTCTTGGGCTTCCCACCAGTACTTCAGTCAGCAGGACAGATTCTCTGCTTACAGCCTGAACACATCTTTTATATTGGCCCTGATGGATCCGTCCTTGCTGCTGCTTAGAGTTTTTAGTGTGATTCAAAAACTTACAAGGGTGACCTCAGATCTGGCAGCAGCCACCAACCCGTTGGCCTCAGATATTGCCTTAGGAAATACTATATAGTACTTAAGAAGTGATTAAATCATCATGATTCATGAATGATTTACAGAGCTAATCTCATTAGCAAATTTTAGAGCCCGACTATATTGGACCTGATGATATAGATCTGGTTATGGCTTTTGTAATTACAGTAAGGACGTGTTCTCATTTGGACTGTATGGAATTCAAGAATTCCTCCCTCAATAATGAACTGGAGGCCCCAGGAATGGATCTCAGACATGCGGTAGGAGTTGGAGGAGTCCCACCTTTTATTTAAGAAGCCAGTTTGTGCAATTCTAGAAAAGCCGTAGCACCTGAACCCATAAGAATGTGGTTGATAAATGTCAGTGGGGGAGAAAACAAGCAAAGAAAATGCGCCTACTTGATTTCTTCCATGTGAATGGCATTCTTCAAAGTTTCTGCAAGATGGGGACAGACTTCACTACGCAGGCTGTTATTGTTCAAACTGGAAAACAGCCATGAAATTACCAAACATTAGAACCATACTGCAGAAGGTCACAGTGACCCAGTGAGAGAATATTTATTTATTTGTTTCGAATATTTGCATACCCTCCTTTCCTCCTGGCACTGCCAGGACCAAAGGTGGGTGACAACAGATACAATGCAAAAACAAATGTATTAAATACTGAAAACACATAATTAAAAACAGTTTAAGGCGGGTAGCCATGTTTGGCCTGCAGCAGAAGAGCAAGATTTGAGTCTAGTAGAAAGACCAACAAGATTTCCAGGGTATAAATAAAGGGTGGGAAGGTAACAGCGTTCCGTGTGCCTCGGCGTCTAGTCATGCCGGCCACATAACCACGGAAATGTCTTTGGACAGCACTGGCTCTTCGGCTTGGAAACGGAGATGAACACTGCAACCCTAGAGTTGGATTCGACTGGCCTTCGAGCAATGGAAACCTTTACTTTTACCTATAGCTCCCTTTGTCAGCTACTATGATCTGATGAAGGGAGGAGCTTTGATTCATGAAAACGTACACCCTGGAAATCTTGTTGGTCTTTGAAGTACTACTGAACTTGAACCTTGCTCATAATTTAAAAAAAAACAACCAAAAGAATGATGTTCTGGAAGCTGATTTAATGTTCACTGATTTCTCCAGTAGACCACAGGGTGAAAACACAAATGTAACAGTTTAACAATGCTCACAGCAAGACCATCATCTACAGAGTAATCTCAGCTTCAGAACTTAACTTTGAACACATTTGTTGTTGTTGTTCAGTCGCACAGTCGAGTCCGACTCTTCACGACCCCATGGACCAGATCACGCCAGGCCCTCCTGTCTTCCGCCGTCCTCTGAAGTTGGCTCAATTTCATGTTCGTTGCATCTATGACACTGTCTATCCATCTCATCCTTTGCCGTCCCCGTCTTCTTTGACCTTCAATCTTTCCCAGCATCAGGGTCTTCTCCAGTGAGTGCTCCCTTCTCATTTGGTGGCCAAAGTATTTGAGCTTCATTTTCATTATCTGGCCTTCCAGGGAACAGTCAGGGTTGATTTCTTTTAGGATTGACTGATTTGATCTTCTTGTAGTCCAAGGGACTCTCAAGAGTCTTCTCCAGCACATACATACCAGCAAGTCAGATGCTTGTTTGACCTGCTGATCTTGACCCTCCTCTCATACTATAAATATTATTACTGCGTGATTATATATTTACTTATATAGGTTAATCCTTCACATTCTCAAAAATAATTGCAAAGACACTTGCAAAACTGCTCCATAGATATGCAGTGGAGACGTGTATTGTAGATGTCCCAGGCACTTCCCAAAAGGTACTCCCACAGCTGACTTTTTCCTAATTCATCCTACACAACACTTTTGCCAGAGCTTACCCTTGGACAGGGAGGAATAAATTATGTAATGAATAGGGTGAGGGTGCTTTCAGACCAACCCCAACGTTAGTAAAGCATTAACAGTGCAATTCTATGCAGAGTTACTCCAGTCTAAGCCGGTTGATTTCAGTGGATTTAGCATGGAGTAACTGCATAGGCTTGCACTGTCTGCCTGGACTCATCATTCCTCTGCAAGACATATTGTGACGGACAGAAGGTTGTCCTGCCCCTGAAGGGGAAAACAGCCACTCACTTGAACCTATGGGAGTGCTACTTCAGCGTCTAATCACCTTTGAGAAGGGGGGTGGAATATTGGAAGGAAACACAGCAGGAGAGAGTTCAGTTCTGCCTCGGAGAGAGCAGAGATTGCTCAGGTCTCTGCTTAGAAGAAGAGCAGACAGAGTGAAGGGTAGCTCTGATTGGTAGTGTGGCAGAGTGGGTTTGGCTCTGCTTCTGACAGAGAACAGAGTACCCAAGTTGTTAGGCCTGTGCTGTCTCTGGCAATGAGCAGACTTTGTGCCATTTAGTCTGACTCTTGGGAAAGGGCAGGCTGGTGTGGGTAGAATCCTGTGTCCGTGTTAGGGTCCAACCTAATGGCTAATTGATAAAACCCTGTTTATACTTGAAAATCTTAAAGAAAATTGAAACTTTTCCCTGAATAATGTGCCTCAGTCAGGTTTCTCTTTGTCTGTCTGGAGACCTCTGCTGCTGATGTGTTATAGGTTTCTCTTTTGTCTGTCTGGAGACTTCTGCTGCTGATGTGTTCTTTGAAACCTACTTTTAAACAAATCTTTGTTTAAAATCTATCCTGAGGGTCCCCTCTGTTGATAGAAATGGCCTGTCACTCATACATCCAAATGACTGCTGGAAGTTTCCTCCTACAACTTCCTGAGGTCTGTGGTGTATAGGATTTGCTGGTTCTCAAGCTGGATGGTTTCTCCTAGATTCCCTATTCAATGGGCTGGGCAAGTCAAAGATGGCAGGCCTTAATGCTGGCATAATAAAGACACCAAGAAATTGGCTTGGACCTTGACTGACAGATATACGTACACAAGTCTTCTCAGGAGAGGCAGGGTGGAGAGTCTTGAAATCAGTTTCAGAGCATTTCCATTTTCAAGATTCAAAAAGCCAAGGCTAAGAAATGGGCAGAGGATGATATAGGAATAAGTATTAGTCATGGCATATCTGAAAGTCACTGCAAGTAGTCTTATCTGTGGGAGACACAACTGGGAGCATGGGACATATGCTGAGGAAAATCCTTTCTTGAACCTTGCAACAGGCAGCAAAAATCCAACTGGATGGACTTCACAGTCCACAGTGATCCCCAATAAGAAACCAGGAGAGACTAAACCATTCTACAGTTCTGGATTGCTTGTAGAGCTTCTAAACCCTGTAGTGAGATCTATCTGGAAATCAGCTTAATAAAAAGATGGTTGATTGACTGAGAAGTTAACTCTGAGGAGAATAAGAATGTTCCTGCAATTCCTTTGGGAAGCCTCAAGGAGCTTACTGATAGAATGCTTTAGAAAGGGTTGCCCCTGGTATCTTATTATCTTACACGGGGCGGGGGAGGGGAGGATTGTAAGACTATAACAGCCTTGGCCTGGATAGTCCAGGCTAGCCAGATGCCATCAGAACCTAGTATTTGGATGGGAGATATCCAAGGAATACCAGGGTTGTGACATGGAGCCAGGCAATGGCAAACCAATTCTGAATGTCTCTTGCCTTGAAAACCCTATGGGGTCACCATAAATCAGCTGTGACTTGACGACCCTTTCCACTACCAGGACTATAACAGGGTTCTTATCATTTAAATCACCAGAGTTCCATATCAATCAAAAGGCAAACTAACTTTATGCTTTTCAAGTGGAGCTTTCCTTCCAGAGCATTCACTAGATTACTCAAGCCCTCAAGGCCAAGGTTGCATTTGGATATGCTAGAGAGAAAATACCATAGTAAGTTGATGACATGAATAACGATGCAAAAAGGAGGGGGGAAATGGTAACCTGGAATTATATGACCAACACAATTCTTTACCAATCGCACCAGTAACTATTAGACTTTAAAAAGTTAATTACTCACTATTTTTACTAAGGCATGGGATGGAAAGATGAAGGAGATAAAAAAGAAATGGTCTACATACTTTCAGTGGGTAAATAACGGAGAAGCCAATACTGTTATACTTGAAAAAATGAAAAAAATGTGCTCATGGTTAAAAATTAATTTGTAGTTATGTGATGGTCACCTGGTGGGGGGGTGGGATATAAAAGGGGGGGAAATGTATCATAAGAGAATTGGGATTGTATTGTAATGTAATAATAATTTATGATGCATATAAAAATAAAAATAAATTACTCACTATTTTTACTAATAAAGTTTTCCACCTACTAGGGATTCATTGTTAACCCCCAGTCTCAGTATTAAATAAACTGGTGCTTGATTCATTCCATGCCAGAGGTTAGACATCTACAGCAATCATACATTCCACTTACTTGATGTCTTCAATGGCAGTGCACTGACTCAGTGCTTCAGCCAAGTGCTCAATCCCAAAAGGAGATATCCTGCAACATGTCAATCTGTAAATTCAGAACGACAGCAGAATGAAATTACGTCTCAATGAGTCCTCCAAAAAGTGAACTGACACAACCTTTAATATCCTCAGGACTGAAAAACGGAAGTAGCTTTTTAAGAGGGCACAAAATAGTTGTTATTTTTAGTTACTGATTTAAACACTTGTACACCACCTTTTGTTTTACCAAGAAAAACCCAAAATAGCTCATGATAAGCAACACAATGAACGTCATAATCTACAGTTCAACTCAGCATTGTTTTATGGGATAAATCATGTAAACAAATAATGGCCCTGGTCAAACGGAGCATTAGGCATGCTAGAGAGATGGAAGATAGGCAGATTTTCCGGGCGCGATCTCACCACCACATCTGGGAAGCATAGAGCTCCCGTGGCGTACCCAAGGCTTCCCGCCAAAGATGCGGGGTAAAAAACTAGAACCTCAGAGGTACTAGTTTCCGGAAACCGTGGGGCAAGGGCAGGCGTCTGATCGCGTTTCCGGTGGGAGTTCCAGCGCCCGCCCATGTCCCCTCGCAAAAAGGGGTTTTTTCCCCAAGTCTCCACGGATGCGCACAATCACCCAACGGAGCATGCAACATTTCAGTTTTTTTAAAAAAACACAACCCCTTGCTGCGCCGCTCCGCTTCTTTGCCACACCGTGTGATCTGCACCTCCCCCCTAACCACGGGAGCTCGACGGGACCTCAACCCTACAACTGATCGCGTAGTCGCACATTAGTTTGCTCCGGGGCAAACAGCCACGCCTCCCCCCCGCATTTTCCTGCCCGTGTGGCCGAGGCCCCTAATAAGTAATTGATTAGAGAGGCTGCTCTGCGGTGATGAAGCAAGAACCATGGTAAACCACCTCTGTTTGACCCTCTCCTTGAAAACCCTACGCGGTCGCCAGAGTTGGGTGTGACAATGCCGCTTTCTACCAGCCAATGGCTGATTACACTGGGAGAGGGAAGGAATAATGAGTTTATACATTTGTTGGCTTTTTAAAAATTGTAAGTATATAAATTTTCATTATTATTCTCTGCTCCACTGGCTTGCAATAGTGAAAGAGCATAACAGACAAACCAGAAGGAAATGGTTAAACGGCTAAGAGGAAAAAGAGGGTGAGAAACTTGCATTATTGCCAAGGGTTAGGAGGAAATAGTTTGGTCCCATTGGGCCACATGGGATTTACTCTTCAGTAAACACACTCAGGATCTGGCTGTGTGAGGAGGGTCAATATTGAATTTTATGGGGGAATCTCACCCTAGATTTTTAGGGCAGCGCAGAACTGCAGGTGTAATTTTGATTCTAGCTAATTGTTCAGGAGTTACACAAAAGGGACCCCTGCACTCTGAAACAATTTCTGTCATTCCCTTTCCTTGGGGGCGGTATCAGGAGATGGTATCAGCATCTCTCTTAAGTATTACAAATAATGTACTTAAACCGTATGAGGATTTACAAGCTCAGCAAATCCAGCTATCATGGTGGGAAAGGAATCAATTAAGCTCCAGGTATATGAAAGATAAAGTGATGGGTTTCTGTTCAGAAATGTCAGAACTTGACAAAATACTGTTGGGACAAGATGTTAAGTTAATACGTAAATTATATTCCTTTTTGTTAGATCATAAGATGGGGGATGAGGTTATGAAAGTATCAATGATGGCTTGGGGCAAAAATATTGGGCACAATATTGAAGTAAATAAATGGGAGAAGATTTGGCAAAATGTAAGATGGTTGAAGGCAGTTCCATTAAAAGAAAATGTTTTTAAAATGGTTCACCGGTGGCATTTGGCACCTGAGAGATTGGTGCGTTTTTACCTGGGGACAAACAAAAAATGCTGGAAATGTAAGTCACAGACAGGCTCTTTTTATCATGCCTGGTGGACTTGTAATGAAGTAAAACAATACTGGAAAGAGGTCCATCTGAGGTCCATAGTAACTTGCAAATTCCGCTAGACCCCGAGGTATTTTTACTAAATATACTTCCCGAAAACTGGAAAAAGGATGAAAGATATCTAATATTACATTTATTAACATCAGCAAGAATAAATAAAATATTTATTTTGCCTACAAAAAAAAACATCAGCAAGAATAGTGCTGGCAAAATTTTGGAAGAGTGAAATGGCACCTCGTAAATGGGATTTTATTAACAAAGTGATAGAGGTGGCCGAAATGGATAACTTAACGCATAAACTTCATGGGAATATGAATTCATTATTTCAAAGAGTTTGGTGAAAGGTACGGTATATAAGTGGTTAGAAACCAACGCAAACCTACAATGAATATATACAAAAATTTAGGTTCAAAATTTAGGTTATATGAGGAGAAGGATCTGTTATATGTTATGTCATGTTCTGTTTTAGAATGTCTTAGTTCTGTTTTATTTGATGTATGTAATATAGAAAATAAAAGAATATTTTAAAAAAAGTATTACAATCACCCACCAATGGCCTGATAGCTTTTAAATATTAATGCATCATTCCACTTATTTTCAGTTCTCAAATGGGAGTAACATAATTGAGTTACTAATTTTCAGCTCTGAAACAATCTGGTTTCAAGTTTCCCTGATGCAGAAGAGAAAGCTGTGTACAGGAAAACTTTGCATCAAAATAAGGGGTTGAATCCAACCAATTTCTTCACTGGCAGAAGAGAAAGAAAAGCCCTTGTTGGAACACCCAAAAAAGCATGCCACGAATCATGTGGACAAATCCCATGTGGGACAGGAGCTTCAGCAAAATGCAGAATCAGCTGAGACTGAGCTGAAAAGCTGGTAGGATCCCACCAAACGAGTAACTGTTCTAACAGAAAAGGGTAAAGGTTTCCCTTGCTCGAAAGCCAGTCGAATCCGACTCTAGGGATGCAGTGCTCATCTCCATTTCCAAGCCGAAGAGCCAGTGCTGTCCAAAGACGTTTCCGTGGTCATGTGGCCAGCATGACTAGACACCGAGGCACACAGAATGCTGTTACCTTCCCACTGAAGTGGTACCTATTTATCAACTTGCAATTTCTTGCTTTCGAACTGATAAATTGGCAGGAGCTGGGACCAGAGATGGGAGCTCACTCCGTCATGCGGCACTCGGGTCTCGAACTGCTGAACTACTGATCTTCCGGTCTGCAGTTCAGCGTCTTAACCACTTGAGCCACCGCAGCCCCAACAGAAAAAGGGAAGTGTGTATACTTAGAGCCAAACTACAGGTTATTGGAAGGCACGGGACAACCCATGGCCTTGGACACCATTTTAGAGAAGTTCACCATTTTAAAATTGATGTGAGGTGACAAGAGGCAATGTTGTCGCCCCCCCCCCAATACCATTTGAAGTGCCAGAACAGCCAGGGGGGAGGTATTTCAGCACTTTTAAATGCATGGAGGAGAAAACAAGATTGCATGGTGGTGCTGAGTCATGGGTTCGATCAGGATTGGGCCATCATGGTGATTTTTAAGTGGCAAAATTATCCTCTACAATGGTGTCTCCAGCCATGGATTGTCCCATGCCCGTCCATAATGTCTAGCTTGGCTCTTAGAGACTGAAATCCTGGAGCTTTTCAGAAACCACCACACAGGTAAAAACACTCCAAAACACAGAACGATTAACACTTATGCTCTGCATACTCAAGCCTCTTCAGCACTGGAAAATGCAGCAGGGCACTGGAGATGGTTGCCGCTTCGGTGTCTGTGAACTGCACCTCAGACCAGCTGCAATGACAAGAGGAAGGAGGACTTGTTCAGCTGCGCTCATCTGCAAAAGCCTGAAGTGACGAAGTTGAAAGAAACCCACCTGGAAGACCAGTTTAATTTAAAAGATGGGACCGGAGTATCCCTGAGATCCAAAACAGACATTACAAGAAATACAGACGCAGGATGTGCAACACAGATCAGGGATGAATCTCTAGGAAAAGGAGAGTTGGAGGTAGAGAAAGAAGAAAAGCTAAGCCCAGCTGCCCAGGAAGACCCGTTTTCAACCAGAAAACAGAGGAAAGATCTGCCGCCGCCACCTGCCACCCAGGACTGTGCCCCTGATTTGAACTGGGGCCCTACATGGCTTCCTGGTAGTGTCATTAAAACACACACATGCACAGAGAGAGGAAAATTCTGTCAAGGATCTCCAACGTTACATGTAGTTTGATCCTCGAAGAACTAGAATTGTTGCTCCCCACCCCCAGCAGGGCTTCTGTGCCTTTAAGAGCTTCATATTGAACGGAAAATCAGCCCATAAAGTTTTCCTGGCATGCATAAACCAGTGCATTGAGGGGCGTGGTTGTAGTAAAGCATCTGCCTTGCATGCATGAAGGTCCCCTATTTAATCCCTGGGATCTCCAGTTAAAAGGATCAGGTAGGTGGTGATGTGAAAGACCTCAGCCTGAGATCCTGGAGAGCCACTGCCAGTCAGAGTAGACAATGCTGCACATGAAAGACCCAGGGCCTCTGACTCAGCAG